GTATGAATATTTCGAGGAACTTGATCAAATGAATTGGTCAGCCCGAGGTAATGTATTGAATCAATATTTGAGGAACACTTCAATTGGAACGACAGTAACTTTCCCGATCCGTCGCAGATCGTTCATATAAAAATTCGGCACATGTCTGCAACAGTCTGAGACTGCTTAACGATTTTATGTGAACCAGGCTTAAAGCAAATGATCATGGCGTTTACTTTTTTAACAAAAACATTTTTACAATAAAAATTTTGTTTGTTTAATTAATTTGCAAGAACGTTTAAATTTGGTTCTCGATGCATTTTGAACAAATTAAATCATGAATGAAAAATCCGCAATCTTGAAATTATTTTTGAGTCACTATTTCAAATGACAATTTCACTGACAAACATTGTAAGCTTGTACCAAATGGACAACTTGGCAACTTGCATGTTAGACCAAATTTTACTCTAAATAAAGCGATGGGAATCAAACACCACAGCTTAGAACACTTATTAAAATTGCAAAATTTGTTTCCGAAATGTGGTAAAACTCGGAAAATATAGCCTTGCAAAGTTTCCAAATTTTGTATATGTTTGTATTGCGGAAATAAATGGTAACAATTTCCGCATGTAATACAAAGTACAGTATACCAAAAGCATAAAATTAAATAGTTGGGTTCAATACCACATGATACTACAGTACCTTTTGCTTTGCCTGTGAGCACAAGCATTACTATTTTCACTCTATTTCCTTCTCTTTTTCTTCATATTTGAAACAGTTTTGTTTTTTTTGCTGGGCACTTGAACTTCGTTGTCTTCATCATTATCTTGACGAGGGCGTTTCCTTTTATCTTCCATTTCTCGCATTTCCTACAAATTTGAAATTTGCAATAATCGTCTGCATTGAACTCTAACATTTTTGCAACTTGCACTTTTTGGGGCACTCGGACTAATATCAACCAAAAAATCATCGGGTACATATTTGAGTGTCTCGGAATGAAAAAGAAATAGTTGTAGGAAAAGTTTGGATAAATTCACGAAAATAGTACTGAAAAATTTTACGAATTACGGTAAATTATTTCGAAAGTTAGTGAAAAATTCTATGTTCGGAGGTTCCCCACGATTTTGGGGAAAAGGAATATTTATTAGCAACTGAAATGTTCGTCTATGGGGAACGACATCGGCCACGCCTTTTTGGTCTGGCAAAACAAGCTCACACAATTTAAAAAACGATTAAAATATAAATATTCTGCATGGTATGAATTTAGTAAGCTTGAATATACAGAAATTTGTAATAAGAGAAATTGGCGGGGTATTCGGCTTTTAACTCCCGATATTTTAAAGTTTGTTTGTCTTGTATTGTGTGAAAGGTCGCTGTAATTGGCGAAAGCTGTAGCGTATACCCAGCCATGTCAATGTATGTATCGTTTATGTTTGTGTGTATAGCAAGTAATTTTAAGTTGATTTGGCAAAGCCGAATAAATAAATAAACAAATAAACACCCCACCAGCAGTGATACCAAGTTTCGCATGCCTGTTGCTAAACCTTTTTAAGGTTACAGGAAACCCTTTTTGGCGTTTTGCGGAAAATCGCTACTGCGCGCTCAATATCAGTCTGATTTTCATCAAATTTTCACCAAATGTTCTCCGGTGCATGCAAAATATGGTAAAGTTGTAAAAATTAACAAACAATAAAATAATGTAAGAATTATTCAGGAAAATTAAAAATCGCGGTACCTTTACGCTTTTGAGTTGTGCTCCTGCTGATTTTAAGTTATATTTATGAAAATATCATTTTTATACAGCAAAATAGTTGTTCTAAAAAATTGTGTTCGGACATTTTTGTTTATTTCGTCATTCCGCTGATATGGCGATTTCTTTGACGACTGCAATATATTTCTGAATTGTTTGAGTGAATTGCTCTTTATTTTTAAAATATCCAAAATTAAAAAAAAGCCGAACACAATTTTGAAACTGACGTATTTAGCTATGTCCTGTGAAAATTTGAGAAAAATTGGTTAAAACCCGCACATGCAGGAGCACAACTCGTTTAAAAATCAGTAATAACCGTAAAATTTTTCGTGAGAAAATTGAATTTGAATATTACATTTTCAATGTTTTTCTTATTGCAGTGAAATGTATGTTATTAAATAACTCTGCGAGTTTTCAACATTTTTCGTTCAAACTTGGTCAGATAGTAGAACTACAGTAGTGTAATGCTTTCATTGAAACCAATAAAAAAATTTTAGGCAAAATTAACACTCAAAGGTGTTCTGTAACCTTAATGGGACTCACAGTCTTTCAGATATGAAAATTCGAGCTTCATTTCTAAACTTGGTATCTAGTAATGGGCCTTAATAAAATAGACTGGAATGCGATATTCTCGTGATTGCAAGAAGACGTCGATATTGACAAAAATCGATCACTCACCAATTTCGCAAACCTTTGCGCTTCAGTAACTCTTTCAACCAACATCATCACTTCTTCGTCAACAACATCAAACTTTGGTAATCTTTTCCCAATCAACTGCTCGATACGTTGATATAGTTCTACGTCGTATCTGCAGGGAACGAAATTTATAAACATTACAGATTGTTTATTGTAACTGGATAACTACTGCATGTATAACCATGTCCAATAAGGAAATCCTTTATAACCCCCTTTAAAACCTACAGTGTTTGTTAATTAAAGTGAAAGAAGATAATCAGATAGTGATTAGCAGGCTTCTAGTGAGGCCCGTGAGGGAGTCAAAACTTGCCGTCTAACAAATACTGTGGGTGTGGCAACTTAATTTCGTGGACGTAGTCATGCATATGTTCGTAATCCAACGTCTTTTAACAAGAAAGTACCGAAACGTAAGTAATACATAGGGCGCTTTCCATTAACACAGCCAGACCGGTCAAATTGTTGAATGAAATACAAAACATTTGGGCTTTGGACCTATCTGACCGGAAATTTTAGATAACATTAGAATGAGGTCCATTTTCGCTAGATATTAGAGAAACATAGACCAGATCTTTCCATTGATACAGAGAGAAGAATTCGGATCTGACCGGTCTGGCCATCAAATGGAAAGCGTCCATAAAATAAACACAAATGAAAACGTTTCAGGTTTTCAAGAATTATCACAAAACTTGCGACTTGCAAAAGGCAACCAAACAGAAGTCATTGTGTGATGTTTTTCTCGGAGTTTATGTTAATTTATGCACGGTCACGGTGATTGAACTCGTTGTATTTTCGTATAATGAAGTAATCCAATAGGGATAGCTGAGATGAAACGTGCAGCCATGGATAATATTTAATGAAGTTGAGACAAAGGATTTGTGCACGGTGAGGCACAGTTCAACATTAAATAAAAGGTCTGTGTTTTGGGGCTTTGAAGTTTTCCGGGCTTCCATGTAGACCATGATATCTTGACAGACTATGGTTGCAAGTTTTCCCAGGCAATCTTTTATAATAAAAGAGTGGCCATTCCATATGATGGTTGGTCGACCGCCTGGCTAAATGCCCGTGTAATGATATATACCATATCAGCACGTCAATAAAAAATCAGTTCCACAGCTCAGTCACAGAATAGGAAGTTATACCAGAAGCGTAACTCGAGCAAATATTTGTCCGCGTTTTTACAAGCGATTCGTCATCAATCACGCCATCCTGGCTAGTACAACCGGCACTTTGTACCTACCAAATCCTGATAAAAACTTCCGGCTGTACTAGCCAGGATGGCGTGGCCTGACGTGAGCGAGTTAAAAATTTTCGTGGACGTCAAACAATAAGGGAAACGACTAGAGTTACGCTTCTGGTATAACTTCCTATTCTGTGGCTCAGTCCCGCAGCTCAATAAAATACCAGTGAGGCAACCTTATTTGTCATCGGACGACTGCATTCCTTTGATAGCATTCCTTCCCAGATAGGGGGAAAAGTGAACTACTGTACTGCACAAAAGCTAAATGAAAACTTACTGTGTGACAAATGTTATAGCACGACCAGATCTTCCAGCTCGCGCAGTTCGTCCTACTCTGTGAATGTAGTCCTGACAAATTAGAAAATAAAGTGATTCAGTAAATAAAGCGTGTTTGTGTGTGTGTGAGGTGCTGGGGGCGAGGGGGGTTATGATGAAAATTGAACTCATGAGGGTAAATTGAACTATTTAATACATACTTTGGTTTTAAGGGTTTTCTAAAAAACGTCCACGTTTTTTCTGGAAAATTTCCATAGTAATGAAGTGGACAGAACTTTGCAAATTGAATTTCCAAATTTTTTTAGGTCATGCATTTCTATAATATTTCTATACTTTATCGAAGTGCAAATTTTCCAGTACATGTCTGGTTTGGAGGGGAAAAAATTAGTTCGGCAAGGATGATAAAATGTAGTATTTCCCCATAATCGACTTCTCGTAAGTTCAAGATCGAGTGAATTGAATTGCATTTTACTGCATGTTCAACTTCTGATATAAATAATGAGCTGTTTGTTACAATGTAAAAGAAAAATTCTACAGTGAGAATGCATGAAGTTTTTCCTGTGCACAAACCTTCGAATGTGTGGGTATGTCGAAGTTAATAACAACATCAACATGAGGAATGTCTAAACCACGACTAGCCACGTCAGTAGCGACCAAGATTGATCGAGACTTTGATTTGAACTTGTTTAATGTACCAAGACGTTTAGACTAAAACAAAAGATATATACTGCATTATAAACAAAAGTTAGAGAACAGTAACAACAGTTACAACAGCAGCAATAACACAATAACAGCAACAACAGCACCACCAACAACCAACAAAAACAATAACGATTTCAGCAACAAAAGTATTATACACAACAATAAGAATAACGACAAAACATAGAAAAGGAAGAATCGACAACAAATATAACAACAACAATTACAACTAGAAAAACTACAACAACTAGAACAATAACAAAAACAATTACAAAAACTACAACAACAACTAGAACAACAACTACAAAAACTGCAACAACAACAACTACCATAACAACAACAAAAACAACAACTAGAACAACAACAACAACAACAATGTTAATATAACACACCTGGCTCATTTGTCCATGTAATGGAACAGCGTGTAGGCCAAGGTTTCGAAGAAGTAAGGTCGTTCTAGAAACAAACAAGTGTGCATTTAAAATTACACGGTACACACTTATACGTGATTTTTTTGTGTTGTGTTGGTGTTATGTACTCAGGTGAATATGATGTTTGTGGTGTTACTCTGAGTGCATATCCACACCAGGAAGGCTTGAAAAATATGCCTGACCACGGTGGGAATCGAAACTACGACTTTTGGAATACTAGCCCACTGCTCTGCCACCTCAGCTATGCGATCAGGTCAGTTTGAGTACGTGATATTTCGGAACTGAGTCTAGTTCCTTCGATATCAAATGCAATCTAGTAACAATGATTTTTTGTGTTGTGTTGGTAGAGTTGGGCTAGTATTCAAAAGGTCGTAGGTTCGATTCCCACCGTGGCCAGGCATATTTCAAGCTTGCCCGGTGTGAATATACACTCAGAGTAACATCACAAACAACAACACTTATACGTGTTTCAAAATATACTTCACTGTACCTTTGCACATTATTACATGTACCGCAAAAAACCATGAAGGAATTTCCGGCGAGATCATTTAAGATACTGACAAGATAGCAATCCTAAGAAAAATATATCAAGTTGTTCAGAAACTCATTCAAACAGTACCGACGTGAATTTCAGTACAACATGTTAAGGGTCTGTTTTCAGAGAATGTCAGGGTTTTTTTCCGGATTTTCTCTTGGGTCCATTTTTGCAGAAAAGATTGAGTTTAGCTAAACAGTTGAGGAGGCTGCATCCCCCCCTCCACCCTTCAATAGATGTAGTTGAGACGCAATGTGTTAAAGCAGGGGCACTAAGGGACACTATAAACTGGTTAAAGTAAAGATGGCGAATGGATAGTTTTTCTTGTGTTGTGAGATGAATTCCAGTCATTTTTTCTTAATTGTCGGGTTTTCAACTGAAAACTAATTTCCACACGTCACGAATTTAACTCAAACAACTTCATTTTTACTGCACTGAAACTTTGGTGAGAAGATTGAGTTTCAAAACTCAATTCAAGATTGAGTTTTTGGGGCCGTTTTACAGCCCTAAAAAATCCCTGAAAAAACCCCTGATTATGTTGAAGTAATTATTGTGAACGAGGCATTTCACATAATACAAAACAATTATAAAATACGGTTTTTGTGATATCCACAATTACCAAACGTAATGTTAGACCAACATGTTGCACTACTGTAGTTTGAGTGCCAATGTGTGGACTTTCACACATATACAAACCTTGTATTTACTTGGTATGAATATGTAACTCTGAACGAGTTTTTCTACAGTTGTATATCTGAAAAAATAAAAACACCAATATAACATACACAAAATGAATAATTTCAGGGTGAATTTACTGGGGGAAGGGTGCAGGGGGGCACCCCCTATCCCTGGCCAGAGGGGGTGCAGGGGGGGGGGGGGGCTATTTTTCATGATAAAGCAAAAAATTATTAGAGACAAAATGACATACAGTAATTTGAGTAATAATATGATGATAAGCGAACTGGGAACAACAATTACAATTCAAATACTGTAGTCAAGCAAGGTTTTGCAATAGTGAAGCAAGTTGATGGGCGAGCGACACACATGACCAACACATCTCGGCACCAGAGCTGGCAGAGCCCCCCCCCCACCAGATCATGCTGGATCCATCCCTGAATAATTTATTTATTTCATGTCCCCTTGCGAGGCTTTTCAGCAAAATATTAACGTGCACAACACAAAAAAGGGTGCACCAGATAAAGCTTTTTGGTATCTGGCCAGATACAAGGTATGTCAGACATGCCAGATAGTTGAAAAGCATCAAGCCGAGTATTATCCTGCCTGACCTGCCAGATACTTCATATTTTTTATATAAGGGTTCGGATTTCATTTAAAGTAAAGCAAAGTAATGATTTTAATTGGTTATGAAGTGTATAATATTTTGACTTGAAATAATAATGGGAGGGGGGCGGGTCGATGGATGATAAATATCAAATATTGAACTCTTTTAGAGCCGCTCCAATCAAAAGAAATTTATTTTCAAGATGCACCCACCTACATCTAGAAAATTTAGGAAACCCCCCACAACATTTGGCTCATTACAAAGGTTCTATTTTTAACAAATCAGTTACTATAAAATTATACCAAAAGGTATCCTTTGAATGGTGAAATTTTTGCATTGTTTTATATTTAACATTAAAATTAGTTCCTCCATAAGACAGACTAATAGAATATAACATAATTATAGTTATTAACTTTTTTATAGTATAATATGCTTTCAACATTAAAAAATTGGGGTCGCCCCTTGTCACACATTTTTCAGTTAGAGGCCGCCCCCCAAATGAGGCAAACATAGTTGAAGCTGCCCCCTTTTTCTCACCCACCGCCCCTCCCATTGGACCAGATCCAAAGAAGGAACTTTATGATAAACTTGCATACTGTAGTTCCAAAAGTCTTGCCCACAAATTTCGAAGGTAAAATCCACATGTAACTATACTGCCAGCTTCTCTCTCATCATCTCAAGTAAAAATAGTGCAGGCATCCATACCTTTTTAACAATTTTGAGGCCTAAACCGTATATAAATAATATCCGGTATCCGGCCAGATATTACAAGTATCCAACCGGATATTGAGTTTATCTCACTATCCAGCCGGATATTATATCCGATGCATGTGCACAAGAATTACTTAAAGTCAGTCATTTGTAAAAGTCTTCCTCTAAGAAGATGGTTAAATGTTTTTACTGTTTCACAGTTTTTTGTTCAGGTGGTAGGGAATTCCAAATCAATGTTAATATTCTGTATAGTAAAACGATCTTTGACCAAGATCATATAATGAGAAATGATGAAATAAGATTGAGTACTCTATACTTACTTTGTTGAAACTTCCACTTTGACAGGGTCTTGTAATGATGCACGTTGAAGTTTCTTCACCTGATGAAAATTATGTTTTATGAGGATTTATGCTGCATAAAAATTATGTTTTATGAGGATTTATAGCATTTGTATAAAAATTTACAAGTATTTGTAAATATACACACTCACTTTCTTTGTCATAGTTGCAGAGAAAAGATACGTTCTTCTTTCTTTTGGAATGACTTTAAGCAATTTGTCTACCTAAACGTACAGAGTAATTCAAACACGATGAAATTTGGACATACTGTACACATAATTCTTAAATGCAGAATGCAAATACTTTGAAATATTATAATGAAATATTATAATGAAGTTTTAATACCAGTTGTAGTTGCATTAATATGCTGCCTGAAAAACTGTCTGGCAAAAAACCAGCTGTGCCAGACAATTATCTTTTCGTACTGGACAATGTTTCCAGTCCAAGCTGAAAAAGCATTGCAACTCTGGCTCCAGCTGACCAAAAAACACCAAAGCCCTGGCTTCTGGTGAACAGCACTACCCTAAGGCACGTTACCTTGTTATTTAATGATTAACAATAATAACAATGAATGACACAAGTAATATACAAAATAACAGTAACTCTGAATAACATTTTGATTTTTTAATCGACGTTTCGAGCTAGTTTGTAGTCAGGATTATTCCTGAGGATGACTATAAACTAGTCGAAACGTCGATTAAAAAATCAAAATGTTATTTGGAGTTACTGTTATTTGGTATGATTGATTACTTACACAAGTAATGATCATAATCATAATCATGGCACAAGTAATAATCATGATTGAGGAATGTATGATTCAAGGTCTTACTTCTTTTTCAAAGTCCATGTTTAAAATTCTATCAGCCTCATCCATCACCTTAAAAAATTAAATTCAGCAAGAATCCTCAAAATTCAGCAATTGGATGAAAATAATTAACCCATTGATGAACACCAGCACTCTCCCTTATCATCTGGTGTTAGACAGAGTAAAATAATAAAGTACAGTAGGGCATAATGTAACTCAATGGGTTGACTAGACACATTAACCCATTGAGTGCAAGTGCTCTCCCCTTGATGAGTAAGATCATCTGGTGTTAGCCAGAATAAAATAATAAAGTAGGGCACATTAGGGCGCAATGCAACTCAATGCATGCCTGTATATTTACAGCCCTGCATGGTTATTAAACTTGCCCGGCTACACTTGAAGCTTGCAAATTGCGACAGGGGACCGGGCACCAAAGAAATTTTTTTGAGTTATGTTTCATATTGTCAAAATTGAGTGTCCACTAATTTGCTCAAACCCAATTGCTCTAAAATTTTCATATATCAAGCCGACAAGATTGTTTGCTGATGAATAAAGTTCGGCCACAGAACAGGAACTAATGATTTGATGAATTTTCGTCTTGAGTACAACTCTTATTAAATCTGGTCGGTTAATATTGTATTTGGAAAATTGAACACAAATGTATTTGGAAAATTGAAATTTTCTACTTTAATTAATTTAAGCATGCATAAGACCTTCTGACTAATGATTGCAGTTAGCTTCAGGCACTTGCAGGTAGCGCCACTATCTAGAATGCCAACATCTGACAGGCATGACTCAATGGGTCAACTGGACACATGGGAAAATATATAACCCAATGAGCACAAGTGCTCTCCCTTCAAATGATGAGTAAAATCATCTTGTGTTAGACAGAGTAAAATGATAAATAAAGTAAGGTGCAGTGAAATTTAATGGGTTAATTAATGCAGTAACTTCATCACAATAAATATATGTTATTTACCGGCTGGGAGGTCCGGACAGAAAAATATTTCCAAGGCCCAAGGCCAAGGGACGTTTTTTGAGACCAAGACTAAATATTTTTCTATCCGGA